TGATGAGCTTGGCCATCCGCTCCTGCTTGCATAAGGCGGCTGCTGTGCTTTCGACCATATAGAAACTACGAAGCGACAAACATTTCCCCGTAAAACATTTTAATTCAAAACACTCCTCCGGTCTTGCTCGCGAGAACTCGGCTGCTTTCACACAAAAGTACCACAAGCTGGTTTTCACACTCATTGCTTTGAATACACTGCCCAGCTCAGCCCAGTCGTCTTGGATGGTGTTGCTCTTCGTGAAAGTGGGCATGTGGTGACGAATCCTTGCATGGGAAGCTGTTTGCAGCAACAAACAGTCTACGGAATTAAAACGGACCTCAGAAACTACAGACAAACGACACAATGTATACTGAAACCATCGGACGATGTTCTTGCTTGCACGACACACATTTTTCATGTCGACAGAAAAAGCTTTCAGATTACGATCGTAGCTTGCGTTCCCCAGGAAGCCCAGCCGATGCCAAACACCCAGGCAGGAGCCAAGCAGAACGCGAGCCGTTCCCAGCCATAAAATATGCATCGCATCAAAGAAAACAGTCTCCAGCCGGAAGCCTGGCATTTCCATCCATGGAGATCGGTCGTCGAAATGACGAGCATAATCGCTGTGACTCAACTCTGTCATCCAGCACGCAGCATCTTCGCCCAAATGCGTAAATGCCAACTGCTCATTTGCAGTCGGAACTGTCGCAAAACACCTGTCGCACATGCTGTTGCAGAGGTAGTAATTTGAAAAGAAGTGCGCCTGCACCCTCGCTTTGAGGTCTGCTTTCCAGCCGAAATAAACCAGTTTCCATCCACCTGCTAGGCGGGTTCCTTTAAGGCTCAGTTGAAATGGAGATGTCAAACGATCATTGTCCATATCGAATTCTGGACCAATACCCTTCATGCTTTGCCACATCGACCATGACATTGCAGATGCGACTTTCGAATGAGCATATCGCTGCACCTCCTCGTCTTTCATATTTGCGTGTGGGATGATCACATTCGGAAACTTTACATCCCAGACCTGAAGACAAAGCCAATCCAAAAGCTCACGGAACAAATCGAAGAATTCGCTTTGCTACATGGCCGCTGAAAAAGGCATAGTGTTTGAAATCAAATCTTTTACATATGCAGCCAGGCACATCCGAGTCCTTGTCTGTGAAGATCGAACTCATGTTCCAAACGATGTACTCGCTGTTTCGAAAAAACTCAGCCCCGTCGCAGTGGAAACAAACCGGCACGCATCCTTGGATAGTAGTGAGAATGATGATGATTTCAGAAGCTTGTTACATGACCATATCAAAAAAACATACCATGTTTTCAGGCTATGGAGCTTCCCATGTCAACATCTTCTTCACTGAAGATTGGATGGTGCTTCCATTCATCGAACTGCCGACAGTGCTCCCAAAAGGCTTTGATATCACTCGAAGCGAATCCGCCAGTCATAGATCGTTGAAACTGGCATAATTGCAGGGGCTCTGCTTGACTGCATCTCGGTTCCCTCACTCCCTACCTCTGTCTCTGTCGATCTCTCTTGCTTGCACACAACCCCGTCGATCTCTCTTTCTCTTTCTCTCCTATCTCTCTCGCGCTTTCCCTGGTTGTACCATGCCACCCACGTATCCGTCTGTGTTCAACTAATTAATCAATTAATCTGTGTCGAAATAGTTTGCAAATGCACTTGCCGGCCTGGACAGGCCCTGCTTGATGTACACAATGAAGAATCTCGTGAGGCAGCAAAACCGGAATTTGGACAATCTCTTTCTCCTCGGATGTAGTCACCTCGGCAGAATTAGCAGTGATCACTGTATTTCGGTATGTTTTGAGGGATCTTCATTTTCTGCAACAAAACCAGCCGAAAGGCCGAAAGTTCCATCCACATGGGATAAGGTTCCAGCTTAAAGCCCCATAAATTTCTCATCCATCTATGAAGATCTCGTTCCTGGTTCGATTGGTAACGTCCATCCGCTCCAAGCGAAGCGAAAGCAGTCATTGCTTCATGAGGAACATCCCGTACGAGTGCCCGGGCCAATTTTGCCAATTGAGAAACATGGGCTTCACCCGAACCCAACATTCCTTATTATGGTGTCGTTTACACAGAAACGAAAAGCACGAAAAGAGACTTCAATGCCGTACATATGCATATGTTGAAACATGTATGTATACTCCGCGAACCCCGAAAGCCGAGCTTAGAATATTTTGATAGACCATATAAACCGAGCAGTTCCCCACTCGGCTTTTCTATAGCCGTCCGAGCAGCTGATGAATTCATCTATAGTACACGAGCTGAGTTCTTCCACCCTGCGCTTGCGTGCCCCACGCGTAGTAGCTGCTGGAACAGCAGGGTTCGGAGTACTCGCCGCGACCGATGCAGGCCTCCCAAACGAGCCAACGAGACATGTCGTAATACATACTGCATACATATGCTAGGCTCAATGTACTGAGTCCCGTTTGGGCTGGTTTCATGGCAATACTGCAACATTGATCATATAATCAGCTGTCAGGTAAAACCTCGAGCCCCAACAACTAAAAAATAGGACAGGTGCTCTGTTACGACCCAGGGCGTAAACTCGGGGTGTTCATAGGTTCGAGGTTTTCTTGAACCATCGGAAGCAGCTCTGCATACTATGCTGGGTGTTGGGTTGAACCTTTCGGGTTCAGGATTTGCGTGGGGTTGTTGAGTATGGGGCTCTGGGATTGAGACACATTTTGGACCTTTCATGATGTCGGGCTCTTGGATTGGGACGTCGGGGTCATAGAAGCTTATTCAACAGAGTTCGGGATCCTCAAGGGTCTTGGGTGCTGGGTTTAAGGTTTGGGATTTCGGGTTTATTGAAAAGGGATTCCTTTGGGGCTTCCCTTGCCGATCTATTACGACTAGGAAGCGAACTATAGATTGCACGGCTTGTGGGCAATACAAGCACAACCCTAAACCCAATTCCTTCCACCTTTAAGCTTCGAACTATGAGTGTGAATTATGCCAGCAATCGATATACCGAGAACCACCCCCAAAACTTGAACGTCTTTCTTAAAGCGAGCCTTGGCAGATCGGAAGACGACGATGGCACGCCTCGGAGACAGGAGCCAATTCGAGGGTGGGGTGGGTCTTCTCAGACTAAGTTTCAGGGTAAGGAACAACTATAGGCTTTTGTATAGGAAGTGGCATACTTTCCCGTGGTTCCTACGGAGTAGTGGCTCGCGGTGGTTTAGCGGTGGCTGTGGTATAGAGGGAGTCGTTGACTTACCCCTACATGGCCAGTCGTTTCTGTGCCCATGTAACAAGCACACAGAAGCTGAAGCATCCGAGCAAGTCCGTAAATCCTCCTTTGCTGACTGAGTCTGCACGTCGCACGAAAGCTGCCACATGTTGTGCAATGCACAACACTTGCTAAGATTGAAATCGGGATCACTTCTATCAGGCTGTTCTTGAATGCAGCACTTCGGGGTGCCCGTACATACATAAAGGAGCTGTTGAAAGTTTAGCTATGCAGCCAGCCATCACTAGAAGTCAAAATATCCCGGCATGTGAAACTCTTCACGCGCTCTTGGCATCCGCGGTAGCAGCGGCACCATCTTTCTTTGCCTTCTTGGCGCCCTTCTTGCTGGATTTTTTTTTGTTCAGCCCTGCCAGCAAGCCCTTCGCGGAAGCCTGCTTTGATGTTCGAGCTAATGGCCAAACTATATTTAGGTTTTGGCCAGGTTCGGGAACTGGATTGAGGATCAAGATTCGGATCTGGTTTAAAGTACCACGATGCAGGCAGGGTGCATGGCTTACAGGTTGAGTTGGGGTCGAGGTTCATAAATAGGTAAAATTTTACTAGCAGTGCTGGCACGACTTCTGGCTTGGGTTTCGGGTGTAACTGCGACAGAAAGGGCTTGAGGAATAGATCCTCATATCCCCGACATAGACCGAAGCATACCTAAACCTGTGCAGTAAATTAGCTAAAAACAAGCCATTGTATGAATTAAACGTGAATATGTGTTCGCATGTAACAGGTATATATGCATGCATGTGAATGTGTACACATGTGTTAGCTTTGGTCTAGTGTTGCGAGTACACACGCAGCATGTGCTTGCCAAGAAGATTATAGGGTGCAGATGATGTTGGCGATGATTCTGCCTGCTGATAGCGAGAACAGCGTGGTGGTAGCCGTCGTCGTACTATATAGTAGTAGGAAGGTAAGAAGAATAATAACAGTATAGCAGCAGCAGCAGTAGCAGTAGCAGGCAGCGGTAGCAGTACAGCAGTAGCCGTAGCAGCAGCAGCAGCAGCAGTAGCAGTAGTAGTAGTAGTAGTAGTAGTAGGAGCCGGTTGAAAGGACACTCAGCACGTTGAGATAGTGTTCGATTAAAGGTGATCGGAGTGCTGTTTTGTGTCCTTCCTTCCAGGCTTGTAGTAGTAGTAGTAGTAGTAGTAGTAGTAGTAGTAGTAGTAGTAGTAGTAGTAGTCGTAGTAGCAGTAGCAGTAGCAGCAGCAGCAGCAGTAGCAGTAGTAGTAGTAGTAGTAGTAGTAGTCGTGGTGGTGGTGGTGGTGGTGGAGGTAGTGGTGGTGGTGGAGGTAGTGGTAGTGGTAGTGGTAGTGGTAGTGGTAGTGGTAGTGGTCGTAGTAGTAGTAGTAGCAGCAGTAGTAGTAGTAGTAGTAGTAGTAGTAGTAGTAGTAGTGGTGGTGGTAGTAGTAGTAGTAGTACGATTAGTAAAGTAGTAGTCGTAGTAGTAGCAGCAGCAGTATAGCAGCAGTAGTAGTAGTAGTAGCAATCGTAGGAGTAAGCAGTATAGTAGTAGCATGTAGAAATAGAAGTATAGTCGTAGCATAGTGGTAATACCCAAGTAGTTTTGCAGTATTGTATATATATATATATATACATATATATATATATACTAGAGGAGTACATAGTATATGGGAGTATTGATAACAGTTGGCAAGACCGTCAGCGACGGGGACGATAAAGGAATCGGCTTTCGATTGAATGCAACCAGCACACAGTCATACGTGCACATATGCATGCGAATCACACCACTCCCACACTCTCCTCGGCTTTCTTGTACCATTCGTGCATGTGGTCCACGATGGCGTAGAACTTCACATACTCCTTGTCCTTTTTCACACCGCGTTTTTTGAGTTCTTGCAACTTGGCGTAGATGTCCTCAAGCTTGCTGTTGTGTTTGGTGAGATCCTTCACCAAATCTCCCGAGTACTCCACGTGCTTGAGAGCTATCGAGAATTTGCGCGCGGCCGTGCTCTCGTTCAAAATGTCCTGCATGCGCTCGTCGCACATCCTGCATGAGGCCGAGACTCCGAAATCGACACCGATTTGAAAGCTCCTGTACTAAACAAATGTAAACCCTTATGTTGCAAAATGCTCAACCAGGGGGCTCCCAGGGCTCTTTGGGCTCCACCTTCTCGGTACCGGCCTCATCCTTCACCTTTGGTGGCTTGGCCTTGGCAACACCCTCCTTGCACAAGCTGTCCAGCAGGTTCTTGGAGCCCTCCTCGCTCATATTCTCGGGGGCCGCAAGCGCTCCAGCTCCCAAAATCCCGCCCTCGGACGTCAGAGCATCCACGAGCCCTTGGTTGGGTGCAGTGTCCCGCACCTTGAGTTGCAGGGCCTCACTCGTGCGGTTCTCCTTCCGCACCTTCGAGCCAGCATTCACGTAAAAGTAGTACTCGTCTTCGTCTCCAGGAAAGTCTTCATCCTCTTCGAACATCTTTTTTGCGAGCAGCTTTGCAATCAGCTTGTTGGCTTTCCTTATTCGACTCGAATTGCTTCAGTCAGCGCAAGCTATCGGATCGTGTCTGGTGAGCATGATGAAGTGCAAACGAGTAGCTCCTCAGGATACTTCTTCAGGATGTCGCGCTTTTTCATTCCCTGGCGTTCTTTTCTAGCAAGTGTACTGTTCTCGGCCCTTCTCTCCATTTCCAGGCTGACCCTTAGATGTCACCAAAACTCACGATTTTATGCATTGGGTTTGTTTGTTTTATGCATGAATACAAGCTGTAATTGAGATTAGGCACTTCTCCCAATCGCCCCCGCATTCAAGCCATCTACGAAACATATCGAGCTTGTTTCGTTCCACATGTGCTGCCATTGATGTTGTACACTTTTTCTTGTCCAAGCATTGTCTGCTGAACTGGTTCCACTCGTTTTTGTGCGTCTTGCCTCAGCATGAAACATAACGCACATATCATGCGTGAAGAACATGAGCTGCAACTGCATGATGCACATATGTATTGAGGTGGCGACTGTTGGCATCACACAACGCAACAACTCCCTGCTGCGTCGTCTGCTCGGCTAGGACCATGGCCTTGCCGATCTCTTTGGCAACCTTCGGCTGGAGCTTCTCAACCTTGGGGGCCTTCTCTGCCTCGACCGTCTCATTGGGGGCCTTCTCTGCCTCGGCCGTCTTCTTTTTGGATTCCTTGTCCGTCTTGTTCTGCTTGTCAACCTTGGGGGCCTTCTCTGCCTTGCCCGTCTTCTCCGTTCTCTCATCCTTGGTCCTCTTCTCCGTCTTGCCCGTCTTGTCCTTCATCTCTTTCTCCACCTTGGGCACCGTGGTCGGAGGCTTGCTGTTGGCCGTCTGCTTTGGCAAGATCTCCTCCTCATCTGAGTCCATGGGCTCGCCGTCGATGTCATCGCTTGCCTCGTCCTCGTCCGACGCCTCGCTGCCGTCCCCCGCGCTGCCGTCCGACCCCGCATCATCGGAGTCGGAGTCAGAGGCGGCGCTGCTCTGTTCCGCCTCGTCGGACTCCTCGGCTGATGCCTCCGAGGCATCGGAGGAATCCTCCCCACCGTCTTCATCCTGCGAGCACATGTAGGGAAACACCACATACTTCCGAGACAATGCTACAGTGAACCTAACTCACACCGCGGGCCTGCGATGCAGCTGCCTCCAAACGATCCTCCAGCTGCTTCCCGGACTGGGCGGTCAAGTACTCCTCCACGCTCATATTCGCAGCAGCCGCCGCCTTCTTCACCTCCATGAGCGCCTCCACGTGAGCACGTTGGGATGCCGAAGGGGACGACATCCCATGGCGGATTTTCTCCGCCGGGGTTGAAGGCTCGCTGGGACTGGCATCGCTCCGTGCTGCTGGCACAAGAGCCAGAGACGTAGACGTCTTCGGGCGCTTGGACCTCGGCTCCACCACGGCCTCCGGCTGCTCTTCGGCAGCCTTCTTCTCTTTCTTCTCTTTCTTCTCTTTCTTAACCTTCTCCCTCTTCACTTCCGGAACCGGGGCGGATTTGCCCTTCACGCGGATCTTCGGTCGACCTTCTTCACCGGATCGCTTACCCGAGGTGCCCATCGTAGTCTCCCTAAAGGAGGGGCGCCAGAAAACTTAAGCAAAATGCTCTTGATGCAGACATACCGATGCTCATGGTGCTCTGTGTACATATAGAAAGCACAGAAATACCTGTGAGAAAACATTGCGTGGCATTGCATGCATGGAAAGTCTGGCAAAGGCAAGACATGCTGCGTACTTGTATACATGTAATAGTAATATACAGTAGAGTTCTAGTATGTATACGTCAGTATGAGTTTTTTATGGGTGTTTATAAGAAAGACGAAACACAGCAGAATATCTTCGTACATCCACCCGTTTGTGATGCAAAGTTCGTGTACATGTATACATGTATAATATATGTGTGTGTAACCTATATATGCCTGAATATCTCTCTCTCAATTATATATATATATATATATATATATGTATATATGTTACATAAATATACATATATATATATATATATATATGTATATATACAGTATGTGTGTTTCCATATAAATTACAAAGGTGGTTCTATGTATTTACGCACCGGTTTCTATATAGAATGCAGAAGGTACAGATTAAGATCATTGCATGATGGCATTGCACGCATGGAATGCATATGCAACTATATACATCTATATATATATATATGTACATATATAGATACATACATGTATATGTACATATTTATATGTATGTGTACTTATATATATTTATTTATATATACGATTGCCGTTTATGCCTGTAATTCATATCATGCAAGCGAAGAACTACGAACCCGCAGGGGTATGGCTGGACGCAGACAATACACCGATCCCGAACTATCTAGAAATCGATAGTGCGTGGTGGGTCAGTTATATTGCATACCCGATGCAACACACAGCTCTCTACATTATATAGAATGTACACACATGGTCGATAGATGCCTACATATGTATATATGCAACATACACATATCTATATATATATATATATATATACACATATAGTGTATAACAAATTTAGCAGCTGAAATGTGGTATATATACACACACATTCACGTTGCTTAAACATATAAGTGTAGGTATATGGTATATATATATATATATATATATATATACGTATGTATGTACGGGCTATGCTATATTGTGAGTATACTGGGCAGCAGAAAGCAAACTCAGCCAAGAATCGGAGCACAGCCAGGTCTGGGAGCAACAGCCGCGATTGGGAGGGACAGCCGCGATTGGGAGGGACAGCCGCGATTGGGAGGGACAGCCGCGATTGGGAGGACAGCCGCGATTAGGAGGGACAGCCGCGATTGGGAGGACAGCCGCGATTGGGAGGACAGCCGCGATTGGGAGCCGCAGCCGCGATTAGGAGGGACAGCCGCGATTGGGAGGACAGCCGCGATTGGGAGGACAGCCGCGATTGGGAGCCGCAGCCGCGATTGGGAGCCACAGCCGCGATTGGAAAAGCACCGCCAGCCGCGATTGGGAGCCGCAGCCGCAGCCGCGAATGAGAGAGACAGCCGCGAATGGGAGAGACACCCAGCCGTGAATGGGAGCCGCAGCCGCGATTGGGAGCCGCAGCCGCGAATGGCCCGTAGCCGCGACTGGGAGCCACAAGCCGTGGGTGGGAGGGACAACAGGAGACAGCCACGAATGGGAGCGACGCATGGGGTTGGGAGCCGGAAACGAAGCCGTGAATGGGAGCCGCAGACCATGACAAGGAGAACATTCAGCCATGCATGGGAGCTACAACCGAAAGAAGCAGAGCAAGCACAAAATGAGTTTTGTTGGTTCGCTCGGTGGGATTCTGGGTCGGGACGGGGGTGTTTGGAAAAAAAACAATGGGCCGCAGGTGCCCAAAACGACCAGATACGAGACACGGCTGTTCTCGCAACCTCACGGCTGAGTTCTCGCCCAGGCGCGGCTGAGTTTGGACGCAATTGAGGCGGATTCAATCCGAAAAAAAAAATCCGTGAAAAACCGGAAAAATTAGCCGCGAATTTTTTTTGCAACATTTTCCGAAAATTTCGGGACGCATAGAAGATTGCATAGCCGTTTACAATTACATTGCTACAATTGGAAGATTCCATAGCCGTTTACAATTGCATTGCTACAATTGCAAGATTCCATAGCCGTTTACAATTCCATTGCTACAATCGGAAGATTCCATAGCCGTTTACAATTCCATTGCTCCATTGCTACAATCGGAAGATTAACCATAGCCGTTTACAATTACATGGCTACAAAAGTGCTACATGGAAGATTCCATAGCCGTTTACAATTCCATGGCTACAATCGGAAGATTCCATAGCCGTTTACAATTCCATGGCTACAATCGGAAGATTCCATATCCGTTTACAATTACATGGCTACAATCGGAAGATTCCATAGCCGTTTACAATTACATTGCTACAATCGGAAGACTCCATAGCCGTATTAATATACTATATAATATATAGCTACAATTGCAGTCTTCCATAGCCGTTTACAATTACATCTATGTATATACACACATCTGTAGCCTTATATCCGAATAGCCCAGTTGCTATGAAACTGCACGACTTTCTGTAGATTAAACATTTTGACAATATATCAATATATATATATATATGCATATGCATTATTGTGTGTGCGTGTTTGTATAGTATGTGCTTACACACAAATGCAGTCCGAGCGGTGTGCATATGTGGAAGATACACACATACAGATACCTTGCCTTTGCCGTGTTTCCATACATCTTAAATGCAGGGCACGTGACAGAACTAGTTAACCCCTCTGCGGCTTGCAATCCCTGAGTGCACAGCTTCCAGTCACATCGCTCCCGATGATGTTTTTCAGCACCAGTCGGCCCATGCTCCTTGCACGAGGGGTTTTCACTTCCGAGGCTACCAAAGTAATTAGGATGGAGGCGCATGCATGGTATCCCTACATGCAATTTCCCAACGTGGCTCACGATATAGACGTAGAGGCCATGTGTCAATATATGGAACGTGTGCAGTGCCCAAATCTCTCGCGACTCTCGCACAAGTTCCGAGCTTTGTTCCCCGCGCAGGAGCGCATGCTCCCTTTCGATGCAACACCTTCCCCTGCCGAGGCCGGTTGATTAATTGCGTGCTGCTAAGTTCAGCACAGGTTGCAGGTCGCAATGCTTTATCCAATCGGAATTGGCAGCTGAATTAAGGGCAACTTCTTTGGATAGTTTCTGTGCCTTCTTGCACCACTGAACAGCATCATGACGCACTTGTTTCAGAGTCTCAGTCCGTAGTGACGATACAGCGACGCCAAACCTTGGCTGCAGGCACCACCACAATCCTCTTCTACTTCCCTTTGCGATCCAGAACTTTGTGCACCAGAGCCCAGGGAGGTTTCTATGGTTTCCTAGAAAGATATAGGGTGGGGTTTCCCATTTAATATATGGTTATCACAACAAAGAGCCTCACTTTGGGGCCTTAGTGGCTTACTTGTGGTTCCAGGGTGTGGGGATCCTATAGCTACATGTTTATAGGGTTAGCGGGTATTCTAAGGTCCCTTTTTTTACAATGTAGCTGAAGAAGGGTTTCTATATTCGATATCCAAGACTCTGGTAGGGATAAGATTGTGATGCACGCAGATCTTGCCC